TAAGTCCGCAGATATACCGCTGTGCCATTGGGGGCTAACGAAACAGAGCCACGTGACTTGTAGTTTCCTCGGAAGTGTTAAATGAATAAAATAATCTTATTAATGATGTGATTTATTTTCAGGGTCTTATTAATCATGTTATGATTTGTTTCAAGGTCTAATTATTGATATTATGATTTGTTTTCAAAATCTTATTAATGATATTATGATTTGTTTTCAAGGTATTATTAGAAACAACGAAAGATATGAGTATAGTTTTTTGCGAACTAAGTTGGGTATATTTTAATAATAATTTCTTTAAAGCTAAAAAACAAACAACCTACATTTGTTCTAGTTATCATGAACCACGATAGTTGTTCATAATAAGGATCCCAAGGAATTGCAGAAAACCCTAATAGAACTTTCGGGCAAAAAGCACCTTAAACAGTAAAGATTCAATTCAAACAATACGTTAAAACCTTTAATGATGACTGCTAAGGCTGTACAAATAAAAATTCACAAAAAAATGTATGCATGTTAGACTTACAAGGAAAGAAAATATGCTCAAAACGGCCTGTTTGTAATTCTTCTTCTTAATTATTCTCTTGCCAGCCTAAAGCAAATATTGTTGGTATATTGCACCCAAACGTTTTGTAGAATACTAAATAAGGTACTGCGAAGGTCGTAGGTATTGAAAAGTCGATTTCTTGGTTCTATATTTTACATAAGCTAAAAAACATCATAATTCTAGTGTAAACGATGTTATCATTATCCCTTGAGGTTAGCTTTCTTACAAATATCTAGTGTTCCTTTAAAAAGTGTAAATACAGGGTGAAACAGGAATTACCAACCAATAATAGATGAAAAATAGCACTAATGGGTGTAACGTGTAGATACTCAAAGCTTTCGGGAGCCAACCCCAATGCTATGTATGAATTGAAAGAGTAAAAAAAAAATCAATACACATAATATTACATTTTATTACACACATTCGTTGAATAACGGTTTTAAAAGGCACGAAGGTTTATTTAAAGCAATGTTTTAGACGTATATGCATTTTTTGAAAAGACTGCTTTTCCACTGGTAAAAGTTTATGCACGCTTAGTGGGGATTGTGTCTTAGTCTAGCCATTTATTTGCCCATTGCTATGCATTATGTATAGAGAATTTAATTACACAGAAACTATAAGCGTTCACTATATTTTCAAACAAATCTCCATGACAATTTCTAGCTACAGCTTAACAATTTACACCTCGAACTAATGCGATCAAATAGTTAATAGCTACAGTAAATCATCATGAACCGTATCAACTAGCTACTAGCTATGTTTATTATGATAACAACGTATAAAGCTAGCTACCATGTAAAGTAATCCTTTGCCCATAGTTGAGCATAAATAACCCAGCAAACAAGATAAATAAAAAATTTAAAATTTAAAAACCTGCGAAGAGGGATTGTAAAAAAAAAGCAAGGAAACAAGTCTGGAGATACTGTAAACATTATTTAAACAAATTACACAGCCCTATTTTGGCTCCATGCTGTTACCTAGGGTTACATTTGATCGAGTCAAAATAGGGGTTTGTAGTTCGAGTAAATAATATCTACAATATATCCAGCGTTGTTTTCTAACTTTTTAGGATTCCTTTTCGCAGGCTTTTATATTCCCATTTTTTATTTATCTTGTGTAATTAAGCTTAATGGTGTTTTTTATCGCCGTACTATATTGATTAATGTTTGTTTATGTCTGAGTATTGTTGATACAAATAATGTTTTATAATACTTATTCCGAAAACAAATTCTATAGAAGATATCAAACAACTGTATATTTTATAAATTGAAATTACAGTGACATTTGATATTACAACTAAGCACAGCCTTTTTCGTCAAAGAAAGTAAACTATAAACTTGCGTTGTTTGTTATCTTACAAAAGTGTGAGTTGGCTCTAAAATAAACAATCATCTTACAAGAGCTATTAAAGTAGCAGAGGATGGCTTAAGCAGAAGCTTAAGATTTTACATCTCGAACTAATGCGATCAAATAACCAATAGCTACAGTAAATCATCATCAACCTTATCAACTAGCTACTAGCTATGGTTATTATCATAACAATGTATAAAGCTAGCTACCATATCAAGTAATACTTTGTCCATATTTGAGCATAAAAAATCCAGAAAATAAGATAAATTAAAAATTGGAAATTTAAAAACCTGCGAATAGGGATAATAAAAAGTAAGGAAACAAGGCTCTAAAATAAACAAACAAACATCTTACAAGAGTTAGTAAAGTAGCAGGGGATGGCTTAAACAGTGTTGGAATTGTAGGGGAACAGAGAGAAATGTCGTTCGTATTATTAAAATTCATAAAAAATTCGTCCTTTTAGGGAACCTATCAAAAACATTAGGGGATAACGTTTTGAGAGATCGACTTTACTGACTGACATAGTCTCAACAAACGTACGCTTGTACAGCTATAGTCGTACTGATTCTTCCTGTGCCAAATATTATCCCCATCAAACGTATAAAAAATTTTGTTTTTAATTTGCTCTTAATATTTGTTCAATGGAAAGTCATTCTTAAATCTCACTTTTGATCTGATTAGTGACAGATCAATAAGCTAATTAAATCACGGTAAATTAATTTCTATGAGAGTATCACTATAGTGTAAATTTATTTCATTAAAAATTTGGAATTGTTTTTATTAAGTAGTTACAATTCAGGCACTGCAGTAAAGTAATCATTTAGTTGTGCATTCGCTCCAGTAACTGTACTATAGTTAAAGCGATACAGGAAAGTAACTATTGATCTGTACACTCTCTCCAATGACTGTACCATAGTTAAATCGCTGCCCAAAAGTAACTATATTTTGTGTACTCGCTCCAGTGGCTGTACCATAGTTAAAACGCTGCCCAAAAGAAATTATTTATTTGTGCACTTGCTCTAGTGACTGTACCCAAAAGCAGCTGTTTAGTTGTACACTCGCTCCAGTGACTGTATTATAGTTCAAGCACTGTCCCAAGGTAATTATACAGATGTGCACTCGCTCCAGTAAAACGTACCGTATCATTTTTGCCATCTAAATCAAACGGATAAACGGGGATTTCTTTCATCATACGTATGA